TGTCGTTATTTTAGCCCTTTTATCAAGTGTTGCAATGAATCTGCTTATCGATCACTGCTGTTTAACATGCTGATTGCAACTTATGAGCAACAATAAGCAGCTATGAATAGATAATCTTTCAACACGTTATTTAAAAAATCCAGAAACGTCTTTTTGACCATTGTTTTCGTGAAGTTTTGATTCTCCAAAATCGATAATTAAAATATCGCCTATGTATTTCTCATTGGGAGATGACTGTCCTTGGTCGTATTCTAACTAATTTATACTTACTTGTGCCCAACAGGTGATAGTTTCTTTTATTTTAGAGGATTCGTTTTATAAAACAGGGAAATTCAAAATGAAATGACGAGAAAACATATTTTACCTACTACTATAAAGCATAAGCTTTATTTAAAGTTAAATATGAAGGAACCGGAAAAAAAGTAGTTGATGGATTAGCGAAAAGTCGTGAATACCCGGTTACGATCACGAGTAACGAGCAATTCACGAGTAATTCAGCTCAACGAAAATTTTCTTGCTCAGTCCGGAATGTTGCAATATTTTTTAAGTGAAGATGACACAAGAAATGAAGACAAATGTTACTGATGCCTTCTTTTGCCAAAATGATTTCTACTTGACACAGCTCCTTTCGCCTTTCTTGTCTTCTCCAAAAATATTTTTTTCGCCGCATTTCCGCATTACCTTTTGTTATCTTTTAATAACTTGCTGCTAGCAGTGTGATACAACTTGAGCTACCCTCGATAACCTTTGGGTTTCGCTACAGAATGTGGAGTAAGGAGGAAATTTTGACTTTTGATATACTAACATCCGGGAAGCTGATGTGCGTTTTCCCTTTCCTTTTGTGAATCATCTGACAGTGCCTTGCCACTAGTATGCTTATGGCTTGTTTGGATTTTAAAACACAGGGTTTTGATGCTCATAATGGCATTTTCTCCTTCTTTTTTACTGCCGAAGGCAACACATTGAAATTGTTGTCTGGAGTTTTTGTGTATTCATTCTCAGCTTTATCTAAACATAAGCTTCATAAATAGAAGAGTCCCCCTCTGAAGATGGGTTCTTACAGGACAGTTTACATTCACACAGACAGAAAATTTTTTTGATTTTATTCATAGTTCCAGGTTTTTTTCTTGCTTTTTCTTTTTTTTTTTGTTTTTATTCATAAGCTCAAATTTGCTATAATTTAGTTCTTCTTGTAGTGCTGTGTTGCCCTGACTAACCAAGCCCAAATTCATGCCACTCGGGGTGCGGGGTAACGTTTCCCAACAGCTATTTTAACAATTCGCACATCAACCAGGCCGAGCCGAGCCGAGTTTTAATAATTGCGAGAAAAATAAAGCCAGCTACTGCATCGGTAGCAAGAAGAAACGCGATGATGAAACAGCTCATCAGATTAGCTCTGGGTTTTGCAAAGGGAGCAAAGAAGTGCTCACTAGTATGATCTTTGTTGTTGGCGTTTTCAAGTGAGTAATAGCTCTGCTTCGGGTACCATCACGTGAATCCTTTCTCCGCCACAAATACTCCAGCGCAAATCGAATTTATACCACTGAGCATCATTGCTCAATGATGTTTAAAGTGTTGTGGACATTCCAGTTGAACAAGAGGGGTGGTGAGAATGGAGCGAAGAGAAGCGGTCATGTAGAGTAGCGACCTTTGTACTACCACTGGGCGAGATTTGCCTCTCGTTTCGACATATTTATTGATGACCTGCTGAATCCGTTATGTGTCCTTCTACTTGTCCTTTCTCAACTTCTTATATCAAAAATATCGAATTTGTAATACATTCATACAGCCGCCCTCTTTCACAGATGATTTGCTGTGGGCACTGACCAGTCATAGCACCAGTATAGTAGCCCTTGGTCACTCTTCCAATTATCAGTGTGAAACTCGCAATGGCTAATCGGGGTAGTACAATTGTAAACTAAGCTCAGATATAAGAACTTCATTTTAATACTTTAATCAGCTATTGCTGTGTCACATAATATTTCAAATAATAATTTATGGTTTTTTGTTAGAAATGGCGTAAGGAACAGTTGCGTTACTATGACGCAATACGCCCTGTCCCCGTTTCAGCATTTGGGCACCCCACCCCCTTAAAGTTTTGCAGTTTTAGTGAACTCTGACCATTGGGGTATAAAAGCACTTCTCCCCATTTCCCGGTTCTAGAACCACTTCTTACAAATTAACCCTGTCCTGGAGAGATTCGGCTCCCCAGAACAAGTTTTTGTACTTTTTTCTTACCTTACTTTACGT